AGGAAGCAGACCGTCGGCCCACACAGGCTTTGGCGGCTGCACCTGTCGCATCATTACGGAGTCCAGAGGGAGCTCTGACCCGAGGCGAGGCGAGCTTGGTGACGGCGCACCGACCGCACTGCGGGGGCGGCTTCCTCCGGGGCTCATCCGTTGCTAGCGGCGCGGGCGGTGATGGTGCTCCCCCGTGCCGTTGTGAATGGAACATCCCCGTCGGGGTCCAGAGTCTAGAGTCCCAAGTCGGAGTCCAGACCCTGTACACCGGCGGAGTGCCGCCGTCTCATGGCCGCCCCCGGCTCGCGCGCGGGCCACGGCAGTTCTGTCGCCCCGGAACGAACACGGCTCCCGGGCTTGAGGGCGTGACGCACCCACGCGTCCGTCTCATTACCCAGATTTACAGAATAGAAGCTTCTCTAGCTGTAGCGTTATTGCGGAGTGATCCCACTAGTCGGTGGTTAAGGCCGCTGTTAGTTTCAGCCCAATGGGCCACTTTTTCAGTTGAGCGGCCGGTGGGAGGCACCTGCAAGTAGCACGTGCGCAACTTTGACATTCTCAAACCGGATGGTCCAGAATGTCAATAGCCTGCGGGGCTTTGGGTCACAGTCCAATGCACTTTAAAAGCACTTCTTTTACCAGCGCTCCGAAAGAGCCCATCCGACTTCAGCCAACGTGACGTCATAAGTATGGCCGCCAAATCGTGACATGGCGGTGACAGTGAGCTGAACAATATTCGAGAGAAATTTGGTGACACTGCAGCACCTCAAGTTACGCTACCCTCTCAAAAGAAACACACAGCTCTGATGTGGTGGAAACGGATGGGCGTACAACAGCAAAATAAATATCTATTTGTCATATTTTTCAGACCATTTTTAACAGTCTGAAGTACATTCCCGGGGATGAGTATGCTAGGCCTCTGGACCAGGATATATTGTTATGCATTCGTTCAGCGTGCTATGTTTCGCTCGGCTCACATTGACTTACCGTTGCATCACCTCACAGTGACGCATCAAGCTGCGTCATTGTTGCTGATGTCACGTGACAGTTGATTTATCAGTGCATAAGGGCGACAACGGTCACGTGACTGTTGATTTATCAGTGCACAATGGCGACGACGGTCACGTGACTGTTGATTTATCAGTGCACAAAGGCGACAACGGTCACGTGACTGTTGATTTGTGATGAAGCTGTTGTGACAGAGCGCTCAGTTAAGTCGTGGCTGCAACTCGCAACTGTGCGGGTCCCATGGGTTTGCAGCCACTTATTTAGTGAACGGATGCCTCATGGCATGATGATGATGATGTGTGAGAGATAACATGTAGAAACACACTCATTACATGACCACCAACAGAGATGCCACTGTCTGAACCCGGATTTCCGTCAGTTCGATGCAAAAGAGATCTGTTCAAAAAATGTTTTTATGCTGATGAATGCCTGCATTTCAAGCGCGTGTAATACTGATAATAAAGATAAAGGTATTATAATGATGATATTGATAGCAAATCCACGGCGCCAGCAGCTCAGAAGCCCGTCGAATTTCAGTGGCCCGGTATTCCCGTTTTACTCATATGCATTGGGGGGGGGGGAAAGGGGGGGAGGGGTTTAGAGGAACATTGAGTTGGCTCAAATCAGCATTTTGGGTATTCCTGTTGTGTGGTTTAGGGGGACTGAGCCCCCTACCCCACCCGCCGAAACTATGCAAAGTGATATCCCTGATAGTGATAGTGATGTATGATATCACAAAGTGATACCCCTGACAAGGGAGATGAGACGCTACTAAGCTGAATGGACCTAGATTCTCATTCGGAGCCGTACTCTGTCATCTGGTCTCCCTAGTTATTCGTGTTAATGAAATGACTGGGGTCATACGCCCGATAGAGCTAAACTAGGAGATGAAGCTTTCGTTACCACATAATGAATAAGCAGCCGTAAAAAATGTCATGCGGGAAAGTGTGTGAGCACCGTACATGAACATGTGTGATTGTCAGAGCTGCGTATTCGAATAAATGCTGTAGAATCAATTTTCGTTGGCGTACATATAGGACAGGAACGTTTCGCATGCCACGGAATGTGCACAGGCCGTCTCAGAAATGTGATGCGAGTAGTTCAGTGCACTGTTTTGCGCAAAGCAAGCAACATTTCTGCAAACATCTGCGAACACGGTATTTCCCAAAGCGTAAGAAACACTCCTATGAAGGAAATGTGAAAGTAGATGGCATGAAACATTTAAAGTATATGTATATGTATTTATACACACACATATATATATATATATATATATATATATATATATATATATATATATATATATATATATATATACGTACATATACATATATACACCTATTTACACTCATATATGCGCATCTCTTGTGTAGATATGCATGTCGATATCTACACACGAGATGAGTGATGTAAAGACATGCTACGGAAATTTAAGATACGGATATATATGGTAACAAAGTTATACAATACAAAGTTGTTCAGTGCGTTAGCGAGGAACGTTATTCACATAGATAAGCCAGCAGTATTAACCTTAGTTCTCGGAGAAAAACCAGGAAAATGGAGATAAAGTTGGGTTGATATTTGGACAACGCGCCTCTATCGAAACAATAGCAGAAGTGCTATTGTTTCGATAAAGCTTCTGCTATTGTTTCAATGATGGCATGTTGCCGAAATATTAACCCAACCATACCTCCATTCTCCTGGGTTTTCTCCGAGGAATATGGCTAATACTATTGTCTTATACAATACGAAGGCTTTGGTGCTAAGTTTTATTAAAGTGATGAGATATGAAGAGCGTATGCGACAGATTTGCGCCTGGACATTTCGTTCTTTCACAACTTCAATTTTTTCCGAAATTGTTTTTGTTGCGTTCAACGTATATTTCCGGAAAATTACAAACATTTGTCTGGCATTTAATTTAGACTCGTCTTAATGGGTTCAGTAACATGCTATAACCAATGACTTCAGTTGGATTAAGAATATTAAGATGGTTTTATGGGATCACTTTTAGATATGTTCATCTCGTCTCATTTTGATTCATACAACCATGTCGTTGTTGGAATGAAGAATGATTGCGCTATAAAAACATGCCTAATAATGATTCGTAAATAGCCAAAGCAGGTTTCTGGGACAGTACCCATCTCTCGCCGCCATTGTCCATCGTACAGACGCTGGAGTCGTGATCCAGTGACACCGGATACGACACGACAGTGACACCGGACACGAATCCCGCCGCGTGTGCATTGTTAGACCTGACACGACTGAAGAGGCCCCCTGGCAACTGGCCGATGCCGCGCCAGCAGCCTTACACGACAGTCATCCTCGCCCTTCGCGTCAGGTGGGGCCTCGTGGTGGAGGCATTTTATCATGAAATTTTGCTGCAACTGGTTATAAACCACAGCTGATGAACAATTTTACAGGAGCGTCGCTAAAAAGCCAACATACAAGTGACACAAAACGATAATTCGATGACACAATGCCTTGGTACGAAAATATCACTTAAATACCAGTCTCAAAAGTTCACCTCAACACTAGTGTAAAAACCCCAATGGAAAATATTTGCCGGCCAGGAACCGCTCATTTGATTGGTGGATTCAGAACGCACGTGACAGGTGTGAGTATCTGGCTCTTGTGGTCTTGGAGCAGCGTCATTCCTGCACACCGTCCGGGGTATATCCATTGGAAGAAAAATATTGTGGCGCTGCGGCCTGAGGCGTATTCGGAACATTCCATTTCTTCTCCATTGCTCACCAATTTGACAATGCTGAAACGTGAATGTGGGAAATTGAGCCGAAACAACGTGGTTGGACTTCAGACCAAGATAATTCATGGACTCGAAAGGGATTGCTGCCAATTGTATGCAGCTGCGTGTGAATCGGTGCAATCTCGTCACTGAATTCATGACCGTGCACCTGCATGCATAAGTCAACTTATGCAATATGCGCACTGTAGTGCTGTTGGTGGTAGATCAGAAATGTAGGCCTCCCACACTCCAATGTCTGGGTCGGTTATCTCAAAAGCTAGTTAAACATTTACGTTGACGTGCAGGGACTGTCAGCTCCTGACGAATCCTCTGGGTCTTATCAATAGTTTGCTATTTGTTTGCATTACGAGACACCTTGCAAAATGTGATGTCTTCCTTCCTGGTTAAAGGAATGCTCGGACGCGGAAGTCTGGTAGCATTACCACGCAACAGTTGTTTCGCGGGCATCATAATGTTTATGTGCATATTCGTGCCAAATATCATGCACTTATGAAGTAATGTGATGCCGCTGAATTAAAGGACGAGCGGTCTTTTCAAGCTTCTTTTCAAGCAGTCTTTTAAACCTTAATTAAGTTGTTCATGTTCTGAATGGAATACCACATGGTGGCCCATGACAGAGATTGGGCGCACATGCGGACTGCCAGCTGCGGGTACCTACCAGCGTAAGACATGCTGAGTGCAGGCGAGCTTTAAATGAAGCGAATAAGAACAAAGCTAAATGTCAGGAACGCCCAGATAAACTATTGTTACCACATTATCAACTATATTACCTAACGCGCAATAATTCCCTACACTGCCATTGACGTATGACGGAGCATTTTGAATTTCAACACAGCATGAGGGGAAGATGCTGGAAATACTTGCTTCCTTTCTATGCAGCCCTGCGGGCAACTCAAAACAGTATGCCATGATAAATGACAAATCGCTAATCGCTTACTAAATCGTATTAGATCACCGGAGCGTGAGAAACCAGCAGCGTTAAACATCGCTTCCCTAGATCTTCAAACCTAAGCATGTTGATTTCCACGTCACGACACTTATAACGAAATAGTCTAGACGGATGGTAACCTAACCACAATTCCTTGTTCCATGACAACAAGCCCGCGATTCCTGCCATACCTTTACGCAACGCAACACCCTTTACGACCAGGGCTTTCACTGGCAGGAAAAATACTTGTTTTTACTTTGTGCTGGCGCCCGTTTTTGCTGAGCGTTCCACGTCTCCCGGCATTCTCACCTGCAGCCCGGTTGTGTTTGTCGCTCGTAGCTCGAGGGCAGCCGCGGCAGCACACCACGTGACTAGCACGCACGAAACGCACCAGTTCATTGCCGCGGCTGTTCCCGGCACGTGACTTGTGTTCGCGGCCGCCGCTAGCCGCTCTCTGCGTCCATTGGCGGCGAGGTATCCCGTAGTCGCCGTCCGGTCGCGCCGCCGCCCGGTCAGCTGATCGCGGCTTGGGGTTATGGACAGCTACTGCCAACGCCACTAGACTGGTGCGGCGGCGGCGGTGGCGCGCGCGACGTGCAATGCAGGGTCTCTGCTAGTCAGCTGACTGCCGCAGGTGCAAGGGCTTCAGCGGGGGTGGGGATAGTTGAGTGGGATTGTCCGTGCTGGTATCCGCTTCCTCTGCCCCTCCTCCCCCTCAGGAGATAGATAGACGCTTGACCCGTTATGAAGCGCTGTCGCCAAACCAATGCAGAGATAGATAGATGCAGTGCTGTCGTCGGCTGTGTTGACCTACCTGCCGTAGCATCGCATTGTGCCATGGGCGGCGCACCGACAGCGCAGACTCGGTCACGACAGTTTGTGGTGGGCCGGCAGCGTCAGCGGCGCAGAACTGATCATGCCAGTCCGCCGCCCTCGAACGAAACCTGTCCACCCGGCTCTCGAGGTACCGACGAGAGCAAAACGCTGGTGGTCTGGCTTATGACGTGTGTGTGGTCACATGGCCAACATGGAATTTCAAGTGTTGGAGGTGTGTTAGCGTGAAATGCAAGCCACTTCATCATTGACCTTAATCAACTGCATCGATGATAAAACCTGTCGGCGAGGTTTCGGGAATAAATGCACGTATCTGCTATCGCGGCGCTCCTTAATAGATCGCCGTGTTGGCACGGGTCCCTGGCCGGCACCCCACAGATTTCTTGCATGCGTTTCTTAATGGATAGGTCCGCCCTAGAGGTGCCGTTTCTGGGAATTCTGGTCCAAAGTCCAATCCAATGTCCAGGGATGTTCCAGCTGTCTGTCCGTCCACAAATTGTCCTAAAAATCAGATTATTCATCTTTTTTCAGATCTAATACCTACTTCCTAGAATCAATAAGCCCCAGAGCTACTAGTGTCATCGCATCCCCCACTCGAATCGCGTGAAAAGAGAGAAAAAGATCGTTGGTAAGGAATGTATACATCTGCATTAATTAAGTTCCGTTGCACGCTAATTCCCGAAACGACAGAACGATGTCGGCTTCGCAAAACATGGGACGATTTCTGCCCGTGTCCGTCCAGTTTCCATACCGGACTTGGGAAATTTCTGGAATTTCAAGAATCTGGAATGCAATCGGCATGTCTAGGCCGCTCAGTGCCGATACAACAAACATCAAATGCGCCAATTCTAGCACTGCCAAGCCAGATGTCGGTCAAACACGTGGTGGCCAAACTCTCAAACACAAACTCATCGTGGCCGGTCAAGCACGTGGCCAAATATAAACACGTTAATCACGCCTGGCCGGTCTCGTCGCATTCACAGAGACTTCTCGAGCGCGTGGGACCAGCGCGCTCCCAGCAGTGCCGTGAATGCAGAACTGCCTGTGCACCTAGCACTTCTTGCGAGCCTGCATTTTAAAAAGATCAATGCAGGAGCGTAAGTCAGTTTTGCAGTGAGGAGGAGGCCCACTTAAAATTGTTGTCGCAAACCTGCGTTCGATGTATGTTTTCGGAACTGAGCAGCGTCATTTCGCAAAGTCCTTTAAAACCTCTAGAACCTAGCAGCACTCCCTTGAAAAGGAGTGCTGCTAATTGTTAACTGTTGCCAACTACGAACTGTCTAACTCTTTTTGGCAGAGGCATCAAAAACAGTTTGCACACAACTTCTCTCGGAATGACAGCCATGAGCAGAAACTCACACTCAGTTGGCGCGTGCACCTCGCTTGGAACGATTCAGCTTTAGCGCCCAGTTTTCAGCGCCACCAGCGCCGTGGTTACTGAGCTTCTGTTTGAGTCATCACACAGCAGCGTATCAAATTCATTGCAATGACCATCATCGCAATTTTTCATACTTACAGCATGCTTTACCTGCTGTCGGGCACGTGATTTCATTGGCCACGCGTGCTTTACCTTTGGAGCCGCATACCTGAGTCATGGAAACTGCTAACAATCCGCTCTGTTTACAAGTCCTCGGGCTCACCTGGTGATCCGCTTAGCCTCAGGCCTATTTCGATTGTTCCTTTCCTTGCCAAGATTATTGGATGCGTCGTCTATTAGCAAATGTTCTCTTACCTCCCCACTAATCACCTATTCTGTAACGTTCAGCACGGATCTAGTCGGCGGCGCTCGACTGAGACCGCACTAATAGGCGTGATGGATCACATTCTTAAATCTGCAGATTTGTCTATGCAACGGAGGCGAAATAAATAGAGACGCCATTAACTCTGCTCGAATTACGCAAGAGTTTTGATGTAGTGGAAATCTCACTGCAAACACCCGTCCGTCTTATCCCATGTCTCGCTTCATCATGGATCCTTGCGACAACCCGCTTGCCCGGAGCAGACTGCATGCGTCAGCCACGAGTGGGCCGAGAGCCTCGTGGGAAGGAGGACCCCGGCCGGGCACTCAGCGCGTGTGCGCGGGCTTAAGCTCTACGGCTGGCCCCCAGGCGCATGTAAGTCTGCCCCACCGTTAACCATTTTCCTTCATCCCATAGCCCTGAAATGATCATTTCTGGCCGAAAGGCCTTTAGTTCAAACAACCACCCGATCATTGCAAAGTGAGCTATCCACGGTGTCTCCAAGGACTGCTTCGAAAGCTTCATCCGGGACCGCTTCCAGCAACGCACCTCACCACATCGGAGAACGGTTCACTGATCTCCCATGGACGATCCTACCGAGGTGTACGGAAAATACCGAGGTGTACCGTACCGAGGTATGGTACACCTCCGAGGTACACCTCCGAGTATCCGTACCGAGGTGTACGGAAAATGTGTCCCGCCCTGGGACCGCTTATGTACACCACTCTGTGTACACCACGCTTATGTACACCACTCTGCGAACGACGTGAGTCCGCACGTGGAGAATGAGCCTGTACGTGGAGAGTGGCGGCATCAGCGCCCAATACCCAGACCACACCCAGGCTTTGGTGTCTGGCCGTAAATCTGACCCGGCGTCGTTTGCCTACCAAGTGGAATGTGCTCTCTCAACCTTGTTGTGGCTAATTCAGTCAGAACCTGATGAAAGTGAACAATGACGAGAAAAAAGCTGTAATTGGCACTGGTGAAGCGCAACGCGCCCTTCTCCGCGCTACGCTCTGTTTCGGCGGCCCCCGCACTGTAAAGGCTGACAAAAACCTGGGAGCAGTGCTCGACACACAGCATTTTTTGAGCCGAATGAAGACGAGACCATGCATCGGGGCAACGGTTCGCTCATCGCATTGTTCGGCGCTAAGCACTAAGCGAGCAGTCCGCCAGTAGATGTTTTGCCCACTGTCATGAATGGTCTTGTTCTTCCCATTAGCGCCCTGAAATTTGTTTTTACTTGGGTGGTTAGGACGATGCCATTCTTTACAAGGAAGTGGAAAAATTATATTGGACAGATTATATATTTTTATTGTCAACTCGCTTAATGCTACAAAAATGGGTTGGAGCGTACAAATTTGGCTGCTTACCAATTGTTTCTACTCCTCCCTCTTTTTCAGGCTGTGATCGCTATCCTATTGGTCTGACATCCTGCACAAGTACAAGTATTTCCTAATTCCAGACTTGATCATCATCCACTGTACACTGAAGACCATGTTTGAAAGGCGTGGTAGTTACTCGTGACCGTTAGCAACGTTCGTTTGATTTGAATCGGTGGACAACACACCTCAGGTGCCAGGTGATCTTTGGAAACATCTCCCAACCTAGCTGTAAAGTGTACAGCTAGGCTGAGAATATGCCGACAAAAACACGTTGCCACGATCTCAGCTTAGCAGACGCTTAAGGCACCATTTTTTCACATCATGGCATGGAGTTAAAACGACCTGGGCCAGCTACGTTTTCTTACTCAAAATACGTAAAGCGAACACGATGCATCCAATGGCCGCTTCTGAACCCCCTCCCCTCCCCCCCCCACCGACAAAAATCCTGAACTCATGGACATATGTCCAATTTTGCGTACCACGTTTACCAAAGCACTTCCCCAACGGATGTACCGCAAAGTGGCACTAGTCTGTCATTTAGCCCGCGTTGAGATCAGAACTGCCGAATTACTGCTTCTAAGCAAACTCCAAAAGGGCACACTAAATGAATTGGAGACTTGTCATCACCTCCCGTGCAATACAAATACTACTTAATTTTGGGAAGTACTTCCTATCAACGGTAAGCAGTGATGTGAAAGCACTACGCGAGCCATCAGTGTCAGCAGGTTATTGTCGGAGGCCAGCAGTCTGTCAACATCTGGTCTGTTTCGGCGCGTTATTGGAACTGCGCCACCGTCTTTGGGTATATCCGTCATTGCTTGACGGACAGCAGTATACTTGTGGCACGAATAATAACTAGATAATAACTGTCGCCCTGATTTGTCGTTTTTTACGATATTACGGGCTGACAGGGGGGGGGGGGGGGGCATGGACCCCCGTCATTCCCAAAACTTAAAAAAGGTAGGACCTCGCCGACAAATGCAGTGATTTGTTCTATACGAGATTTTGCGATTCGTTAAAGTTTGTGCCCCCTAGGTGAAACATCAGTCCAATAAGACCAGGTGGAAGTTAAACATTCATGTTCTATGTACTACGGTTAGGTATCACACTTATGAGATCACCCTAATAAGCTTGACATTTCAATAAAAGGCTTATACAGTAGACAGACAGAATGGATTGGCAATTCTGCTGTCGAAATCAGCGAAATGATCGTTGGTTTTGGACACACATATAAATTGTAGGTGATATCTTGTGATGTGTTTTTAGTTGACCTGGGTGCATATAATAGTAAGACAGCATACTAATGTGAACTGTGCCGTCTCCCCTCCCCTTCCCTCCACTACCTTCCTTCCCTATATAGCGGTAACAAAGATACAGATTGATGAACACATCCAGAACCATGACTGTAGTCACTGGGGAATGATATGTCCCCCCCCCCTTGCAGGAAATTGTATTTTGCTCGCCTGAGGAATAGACGTATTCT